TCAGAGAAAGCACCTGCTTCTAGTTATTTTTATGCAGCAATAACATTTAAAAAAATCTTTCCTCCCAATATTTTACAAACCTCTCTACAATGCAGTGAAGCTGGTGCCTGCAGCAGTTTACTCTGCTCACTCCCATTATCTCCTCCTGAGCGCTTGGTTGCATTGTGCTTAATTATGAATGGCCTCCAAAAAGCCCGTTTTACTGTACTATGAAGTGACTCACATCACACAGCAGCTCTGACAACTCGCACCGGGTACTGGAGGCACATGGCGCTGTGTTAGTCAGTGACTCATTTCACATTGTACTCGGTGCTGAGATCTGACTCACATCGAACTGTGTGAGAAGCTGACTGACATTGTGCTGGTCTGAAAGCTGGTTTGAATCGGGATGACTCACCCTGGAGTGCATTAAGCGGTGATTCACACACTGTTTCCTATTGATTCCGATTGTCGCGATTCACTTCGGATTGTACTACGCTGGCATCTGGCTGCTCCGCAGGGCAGGCTCTGTGATAGCAACCCTCTGCCTGGGGAGCTCGGCTGTAGTGCCAGCCTGCAGTGTCAGCCAGGAGGAGCAGTACCAAAGTCAATTCAATGCTGAAGGAAGGACAGATTTTGGCTTAGCACACATTAAGTTTGACCGTGACACTTCCTGGACTTCTTTTCTTCAACTGGCTTTGACAAGTCTTGAAAACAGCAAGTGAGGAGTAATGAACCTCTAGCTAAGAGTCCTCTTACTTCTGAATGCCAGGGGATCTCCAGAGCACTTCCAAGACTTGCGGTCTCCTTTGTCACTTCTCTTAGTGACAAGAAGATGCGATGAAATTCTGGAAGTGACTGAGTACTGATAGTTGCTTAAATGCTCCAACTCCATCAACATTTGACCTGAGCAAGAGACCCTGCAGCGTAAAAACTCCTCCCCGGTACTTTAAGCTCAGTCTTCAGACATCACTACTCTGTTCTAAGCAAGGGGTAGGGAATGTATAACACCTTAAGTGATGCTTCCATGATTAAGTATTTGGGACCCAGAGTAAAGATATCAAAGTAAGTATTGATGAGAGGAGGAGATAAAAAAACGAAGAGGAAATAAAGTAGCTGTTGTCTCACCTTTGAGCATTTTATAAAACACAGTGCTAGTTTTACACTCAGTTGTCTCTGAGTTTAGAGAGACACTCCTAATTTTAACATGACGTTCGTAATTTTAGGAACCACCACTAGGAATCTCCTAGTGGATAATGATTCCGGTGTTCTGTTTAGTCAAACTGGTGTTTATTGCTTCTGGTCCTGTAATAGAGCAGTGGTGTAGCCACCTCCACATCTCTGCAGAGCACTGGATTCTATGCTGACATTCTGTTTGTGCAACAGAGGTACAGGGAGACTCCTTGCCATTACATCATAGCAACAAGCATCATATGAAAACTTTTCATTTTACATTTTTCAACAGCAAAAATGAACAATGGAACGGTTGCATAAAGTAAATTACACCACTATTAAATTATTGTGTGTTCTTACTGGAGTCTACAAGGATAATCTTATTTCACTTTCTGTATTTGTGTCCGATTTTCGTTACCTGCTTTTTCTTACTCACTGACATTACCTAATGACAGAGCTCGGGAAGAGCTCTTACTCTTGACGAGGCAGGCTGGCCCTGGAAGTCTCTCTACGAAAACACTCGCCTGTTGCTGCTTCTCTCTCTAACTTGGCAGGGGAGCCCCGGGCTCCAAGAGCAGACGCTCTCCGAGAGGGACCCCTTCACGGCGGGGCGGGGGCTGCACGGATGCTGCCGCATCTTCGTGAGACGGGGCAGAGGGGCCCTGAGCGGGGCCGAGCCGGGCTGGTGCCTGCGCTGGGGCCGGGGATGTGGCTCGGGCCGGGGTGCGATCCCGCCCCGGGGAGGGATCCTGACCCCGCTCCCGGGGCCGAGGTGAGCCGGGTGCCACCCGGGCTCTGCGCTGGGAGCTCCTGGGGAGGGACGTGGCGGGGAGAGCCCGAGCGCCGGGGGCTCCCGGCTCGCAGCTCCCGACCCTCCGGGAGAGCGGGGGAAACGCCTTTTGCGCCGGGTCCCTGCCGTTCCTCCCGGGGAGGGCGGCCACAGCCGCTGTCCCGCCCTGGCCGCAGGGCCACCGTCCAGTCCCGTCCCGTTCCATCCCGTCCCATACTGTCCGGTCCCGTCCCGTCCGTCCCGCTGCAGCCGGGGCCGCTCCAGCTGCAGCACGGGGGTCGCGGCTGCCGGCGGCGAGCCCTCTCCTGCTTTCAACTCGGGATGGATGGATGGATGGATGCCGTGCCCGGCTGCCGCCGGGCGGCACCGAGCGCTACTCACGGTGTCGGCAGCGGGGCCCGGCCGGGCGTCCTCCCACGCTTCCCCTCCGGTCCCGGCGGGCTGGGCGACCGGGAGCGGGGGCTCTCCGGCCCCACGCATGCGCCCGGCCCCGCGGGCTCCTCTCGGTGCGGCCGCGGGTGGGTTAGCTCACCGTGCCCGGAGCCGCAGGGAGCGAGGCCGGCAGCCCGCGCTCCCCGCCCCGCCCCGCCTCGGCACGGCACGGCACGGCACGGCCCGACGGCGTGGGCTGCCGCCGGATCGCCCCTGGCGAGGCGAACACCGGGGGCTGCTCCGGCTCAGGGCCGGTTTGCAAGAGGATCAAACACGGCAGCAGCGCCCGCACGGCGGCGGCGGGCTGGGGAGGGCGCGGGGGAAGCCATGAGACGGGCGCCGCAGGGAGAAACGCCGGAGAGAACGGCGTGAGAGCGTGTGAGCGGGGAGTGTGTGTGCGCGTTTGTGTGTGTGCGCCGATGGGAGGGAGTGGGAAGGGCTTGGAGAGGCGGCGGTGTCGCCGTGGGGCTCGGTGCTGGTGCTTCTGTGCTAACAGATGCCTGAGAGGAGAGCCGGGCTTGTCAACCCGGCGCTGGAACATGCTCGCGTTTTAAGTAACTGCGTGTTAAGATACACTTTTTCCCTCCTCTAGCCGCCTCCCGCTTTCCAGCGGCGCAGGGCTCGCCACCACCGGGCAGGTGTGACACGGCTGCGGCAGCGCGGCTCCGGGCACGGCGTGTGCCGGGCTGGGCGCTCACCTCGCTCCCCGGAGGCGCCAGTAGGAACATCACCAGGTTTAGGGGATTCTCTCACCGACAATGATCCGCAGCCTCCATCCCCCGGGCAGCCGTCTGCCGGGACAAGGGTTAACGGGACGACTGCGGCTTGCTAGTACCTCCCGGGCAGACCGACAGTGTCTTCCCGTGAAACCAAGAGTGATCCGGTGCGTGAACGCTCTGCGCGTTCCCGGTTCCCGGAGCTGGGAGCCCGGCTGCCGTCGGGGCTGTTCCATTCCCGCCCGCGCACCGGGCGCGGAGCAGGGCGGCCGCAGGATCCGCCTCGCCGGAGCCAGCGGACCCGGGGGCGCTGGGGATAGCAGAGGGGACCAGCGGGGATGGCAGAGGGGACCAGCGGGCTGGGGATGGCAGGCGGGACCCGCGGGCTCCGCTGTGGCGCCCGGGGCTTTGCCGCGGAGCTCGCCCGGCACCCCCGAGCCTCCCACGCCGCTGCCGGCTGAGGGCACGTGGGCGGACAGCGGCTTCCCTGGTGCGGGGAGCAGGAGCAGGAAGAGGAGGAGGAGGAGGGGTGGACGCGGCCCCAGGAGCGGTACTCACGGCGCCGGGAGGCTCGGGGGCAGCGCGGGGCTGCGGCGGCGCGGCTCCGTGGCACGCCGGGCATCTCCGGCGCTCCGGGGGGAGGCGGCTGGGCGGCGGCGGCGGGGCCGGGGCGGGGGCCGGCGGCGGCTCAGCCCAGCGGCCCCGCAGCAGGGCGGCGAGCGGGCAGCGGGCAAGGGCCCCGCTCCCGGCCAGCAGCGCCGCCAAGCCCGCGGGACACAAGCGGGGCTCCGGGGCGTCCCGACGGGGCGCCGAGACGAAGCGCTGGCAAGGCCGGCGGGCAGGGAGCTGCGGCCGCAGGAAGGGGCTGGAGAGCAGAGCTGACAGCGAGGCGAGGGCCCTGGCAGGCCTCGGAGTCTGCGGCGAGCGGGGGAGGTGTGGGAGCGGAGGGACGGGGCGGGAAGAGAGAGAGAGAGAGAGAAAAACACAAAGTGAGCATCACCGAGAGGGCAGGCGGGGGCCCGGCACAGCCAGCAGAGCCCCGCAGCGCTAAGATGAGGGTTGGAGTGCTGGCGGCCGTGAGCCCACAGCCTGCTGCTCTCGCACCCCCCTTGCCCCCATGTGCACTCAGTCTTCTGAACTTTCCTCAGCCGGTCCCTCAGGCGAGCGCCGGAGCACAGCTCTCGTACCCAGCCAGCGCCCATTGGGTTCGGAGCTGGCCACAGTGCCAGAGGAGCACCGGAACGAATTTGGCCACTAACAACCTCCACCCAAAGAGCAGCTCCCGAAAATCCCCATCCGAAAAGCCGACCGCGGAGCACGGGCGGAGCTGCGGTCGGGAGCGGAGCCGAGCCGTCGCCTCCCGGAGCTGTCCAGGGTGCTGAGCCTGCTCCTCCAGGAGCTCCCCGGGCCCGCCCCGAGGGGCGAGCGCCAGGGCACCGGCACCCTGCCCTGCCTTGTGAGCGCCATTGTCCGGCAGGGAAGGAGCCGCCTGGATGGGCTCCTCCTCCGGATTTTTGTCCATTCCTGCTCAGCATGGCCCCTGAGCAGGAGTGGACCAAAACCACTGCTCTGCTTCCTTTTTCTCTAGCAATGACTTCTACCTGTTTTTGTTTGGGTTTTCATGATTTCATCAAGGTTTAGACCACCCCAAAACGTTGTCCCTATTTCTGGCCTACAAACAGGCATCAAAGAGACAGAGAGGAACTGAAGTATGCACAGTGTGAAGAAAGCCCTTCCCACCGTGATGGTGCTGCCCTTGAAGGCCAAAGGCACTTGCCCCAGCAATGGGAGAACGTGGGTGTGCTGCCATTGATGCCAGGGAAGGTGCTCCTTAGAGCTGAAACCAGCGGGGAAAGCTGCCATTCCTACACTGAAGGAGAGCTTGCTGTTGCTTAGCAGCAGAGAGTTCCCCTAGGTCTGTTTGGAGAGGTGAACTACGGCAGAAACTGGACAATGTTCCCAGGAGAGCAGAAAAAATAGAAAGGTTGGTTCCCACCCCACAGCCCCACTCAGTATTCCTCCTGCCCACTGGCAAGGAGCCCTTCTGGGAATCCCTGCCCTTTTGCTTGTGGCAGAAAGCGTAGAACTGATGTTGAACAGATTTCTGTGCCAAACTACACTTGCCAAGGTCCAGACAGGACCTATGGAGATATTATAGGTTTGACAGTATTAAATGACACTGCCTCACTCCTTGGCAGAGAAAAGGGAACATAGTCTCAGTAAGTGTACTGAGGTGGTTGTTTATGTGGATCAGGACCAAGCTCAAAACACCTGCTAACACCACTGGCTTTTGAATTCAGCTCTTGGTCACTCTACCAGGACAGGCAGTCATTTCTCAGACTGGTGAGTAAATGTGACTCCCCTAAGACCTCTCTAGACTATAGTCCCAAGTGGCATCCTAAATCTTAGCAGGAATACTTGATCAAGTTCAGGCTTAAAGTGCTGGCAGAATGTAACCCCTTTGGAAGGTATATTCTTGCTCCACCATCCTTTCCTTTTGTCTCAGGAGAGTCATGTTCCTGCCAACAGGCAGGGGGTTTAGAATGAAGTGATCTTTAAGGCCCCTTCCAACCCAAACCATTCCATGGTTCTAGCTGACATCTTATTAAATAAGGTTTTTTTATTTTTTTTTTCAAAATTCATGATGCAGTGATGGTGGGTAGTACTGTATAAAAATATGGTATTTATGCTCCCTAGGATAAATGATATTAGATAAAGAAAGCCACCTAAGCTAACTATTTTCCAGTGATTGGAGCTTGTAGGCAACTCTGTCTCAGTCTGTAGGCAGATGCCTCTGCATCACTGCATGTGTACACAGCCACATCCTGAAACAGTTGAATGGTGTGGAGGAATAAAGTCCTCACAAAATTGTTAATGTAGTCACCTTCTCCTCCTTTCCCTGTGAATGATGGATGCAGGCTGATATCCAGCTGCGTGAGACAGAACTGCACAAACAAGGGCTTGCACTTTGCTGAAATGGGGTTTAGAGCTGAGAGAGCTGAGAGACGCAGACTGGAACCCTTTCTCGCCCTAAAGGAATGTGAACATGCATTTCTCATGCATGAAAGAAAATTCCCTCAGTCATCAGAGCAGCTTGCTCTGCATGTTTCTCTGTGACCTTACTCTTGGTCCCCTTTACTGCTCTACTTTGCTCAGGTTAATTCAACTTCACTGGGACAGAGGGAAAGCCACATGTCAATCTAGCAAGGCTCAGGAGTACTTGACCTTGCACTTATTTCTGTTTCAAAAAATAAATTATGGAAAATTGAGACCTTACATGTGAGCTGTGCATTTAATATAATTATCCCATATAATGGCACTTTTTTTCTATAACATACATGGTAAATAATAGACCAGGAGATCTGGTTTCAGTATTGGTATTATCTACCAATATTGAAACCAGATCTCCTGGTCTATTATTTACCATGTATGTTACAGAAAAAAAGTATTATCTACCAGTATATCAGGCATTACAAAACCCACCTCCACCCTTTACTTGAGTTTCCTGAATATTTCACTTTACACTCATGAGCTCTTGACAAACTTTTAGGAGGAAATTCTATCCAGCATGCAGTTTTTAAAAAATTCTAAATCAGAAAGGGATGGCTTTATATGAGGGTGCCTTTGCTATTTAGTATTGCCCCTTTGGATGCTCCTTAGACTCCACCCTCCCTCTTTCTGCAAACTTGTCCAGTTAACATGTTTTCCTAATTTTGCCTTGGTGTAAATGAAGAAATCTGTTACTTTTCTTATTGATTTTATTTTATTTTATTTTATTTTATTTTATTTTATTTTATTTTATTTTATTTTAATGAAAACTTATATGGTACTTTTTAAATTTGTTCTCACAGTTTTCAGGAGAGGTGATAAGAAAGATAATACAGAACATGTGTCTGTAATTTAATAACATTGCATTCCAACACTCTTGCAGTCACACATCAATGGGTGACATAATGAACATTTCAGCTTTTTTAGGGCCTGTTTTCCTTTAAGGTGTGAGGGCTGATTGCTGTCTCATACCTGAACTTCTGCTCCCTGCCCAAGGAGAGGTCATACACATTTCTATGGCAGCTTTTGTGTTCTAGTCTATTTCAGTGTTTCCTGCTCCCTTAAATTGTTAAAAAGAGAGTTTCTAGACCATTGAATGGAGCTGATTCATAGGGAATTAGGGAGATTAGGGAGCAATTCAAACAGAGAGTAAGAAGCCATTTTTTACCTTTTTCATTGACATAAAAGTGCACTTGTTACAAATAATTTTGAAGACTGATAGGCTTTTCTGGGAAAGGAGATATTTTCAGAAGGAGAATGAGTTTCCAGGGACTTCAGCTGAACTTCAATTTTCTTTATCTATCAGCATAAAGAAAATTGGGTAAGGCTTTCCCTTACCCCTTAATAAAAACTAAAAATGTAAAAAGAAAAATAAAAGATGCATTTAAATAACCATATTTTGAAGTGAACATAATACCAGTGATATTATGGGAAGCAGCTTTGCTGAAATTTTAAATATTTGTGTTTTTTCAACATCAGTTTCTTACAGGCAAAGCCACTTTTCTTTATGGATCTATCAGTAGTTGGCTTCAAGTGGGAAATGCATGTTCAAAGCTGATGGGAGGAAGAATGAAGTGGCATCTTCAAACATGTAAGACCAACCATAGCGTAGTGTGGTCCCACAGAGCATTAACTAAATTGTTCTATGTGCAGGGATGCCTGCTAGTATTTAATTTTTCATCAACATTGATAGTGGTGTGCTAATTAATCAGTAGAATTTATTTTGTGTGAGCCAAAGTGTGAAAGTCCCACTGTCATGTCATTCATGCAGTCACAGGGTGTCTCAGCCTTTTTCTGGAGGACTAGGTTTCCTCAAGATCTGATGCTAAAACTTGAGATTGCATTACATTAGGGCTTGAAACATTATCAGAATGGTTAGATGTGATTTAGATCTCGGTGCAGTCAGAATTTCTTGCAGTTGGTGGCTCTGCTTAGTGCTTTGATAATTATTTGATCACTGTAAGGTCATTTTCTAGGGTGGTGTATTTTTTCAGGGTTGTCCAGTCCCATATGTATGTTCTGACAAAACCCTTAGCTTCAGTATTTATATCAGTCAGTGTCTGCTCCAAAGCTGCAGGAAGCCTCTGCCATCTCTGCTCACAACTCTGTTTCTTCTCCTCCTACATATCACATCTTTGTTACTTCAAAGGCAGAGGAAACTTAAAGAGAAATAACATTTGAGATGGAATTCAATGTTAGAGCTAGGGATATGTTCTCCAGTAATACTGAATTGGCACTGAGTGCTGCGTTTCAGAGTGTCAGTCAGCTCAGTGATGGTTCCACTCCTCATTCTGGCCCAGTCCAGCTGATGGGAGTGGGCTCTGGGGGGTTTGTGAGCCCTTGGACAGCCCTTGGCCTGCTCTGTGGCCCAACTCATGCTTAAAATCTTGATGACACAGAGTTTCTGGCAGATTTACAGACTACACAGGAATGTGGTGGCTTGGGCAGAGAAGGTCTAATTAGAAACTGCAACGTTATACACACAAAAATGAAATCTTTGCTGAAGTGCAAGTGCACTAAGAAAAGTTGTCATTCATTTAATTCGTCATGTTTGGCAACTTGAATCTTCACAATATTCTCTGATCCTTTCACTTGATGTATGACATTAATTAATTAAAAGCAGAATGCCAACCAAAATGCATACATTTTCTTTTAAACCATGAGGTTAGCATACATCTATAATTCTATCCTCTATTCCTGCCCCCCCCAAACCTTTGAATTATTTGGAATAATTGAAAACCCTTACAGGCTTGATTTAAAAAGAAAAATCTCTTCCATCACGACCACGACCATGTTCTGTTAGTGTATGTGCCAGTAATGTGATAGACCCTGTAGGAATTCTCTGGTCAAAATGTTGATCAGAAAAAGATTTGCTTCTGCATACAAAAATTGTGAGTTTCCAGACGATGGAAGTGGCTCAGGGACGCTCATTACAGCTTCCAGAAGGTGTCACTGTGCACCTACAATTTGAATGGGGAACCTCAACACTTAAGGGTTAGTGCCAAAACACTATTCCTCCTTGTGCTATTAGGGCTCTTCTTCTCTGCCCATATGGAAATTAAATGATCCATTGGAGAACAATATTTCTCTTTTTTCATTATGGAAAAAGTAAAAATATCTCCATGGTATCACTGTCACTCAAGAGGTACCTATCAAACCGTGACCTGCAGTAGAATCTCTGATATTCTGGGTCACATATAACCTAATTATTACACAGGATTCTTGCAAGATAATAAATATAGTTAAATTAAAGAAGGAATCAAAGCTGGCATGAATACAATTTTTAGGTCTTATAGAGCAGTTTATAGTGACATTCCAGAGCTGATTCAGACAGGAAGACTAACAGGGCAATTTGCAACCAGTGTCCCTGAACAGATAGAGGTTTCAGAGTCTTTGAGTAGTTCAAAATGAGTCTGAAAGCCTGGTTGCACGAGGTGGCTGCACAGTAACATTCTAGCTTGACAAGATTTCTGAGGAAGACACTGTGATTTCTGCCATTAATTTTCATCAGGTTTTGGACCTTATAAAATATGGATCAATTGGAAAATTATGCAGCCATGTTAAAAGACTGATGGGAGAAAATATAATGCTTGTAGGACTGGTGGTGGAGAAGATGAAAGGAGAAGTACACTATAATTCCTTTGAAAAAGAAGAACAAAAGAATAAAGAGCAGGCAATGAGAGCTGCTGAAGAGTATGAGGTTAAAGGGCAGTATCAATGAGAATGTTGCAGGCTGGTGCTGCATGAATACAAAACTCTGTATTTGACTCATTGCAAACTAGATTGATCTGCTGACCAGGAGTATTCATCCAGCATCTTAAAAAGACATATGAATGATGATGAGAGGAAAAGGAGCTGTTTTGATAACAATGACAGTGAGAAGAAGCTGTGAACATATTTTGAGAAAGGGAAGACTACAGGTGTTATCTATCCCAGTGTACTGATTTATCAGTGGTACCAAACAAATACTACAGGTCAGGTTAACCCTGTTGTGTAGAAGTGAGCATGCCTGTGGAAGTGAATAGAAAACCCTGGAGTTTCCTTGAACAATCTCTCACTAAGATTTATTTTAGAGGTGTCTTATGTAATTTCTGCCCCTATAGAAATATCTGCCTAGAATAGGGAGACTCTAATTACAGACAGCCCAAGTCACTGGCTCAGAGTTGTGCTTGCTTTAGGCTTAAGCAGCATAACAAATGGTACCAGCTCCCAGGTCTCCCTTGGCACCACAGACACTGAGTTACAAGTTAAAGACAGAGGACCTCTGTCCTTAGTAGACAAAGGAATAAAGAAACAAACAAAAAACTCCAAACAAGCACAACACCAACAAATGAGCCAATAAGAACAACAACAAAAAACCCCAACAAAAAAACAACTCAGAGTTACTGAGCTTTAGAGGGAGGCACTTGATGTGCTCCTGCAAAACCACATCTTCTGTTTGATGTACAGAGAGACTGGACCCTCCGTTCTGCAGGCTGGGCTACTCCTCTGGCCTCTCCAGAGCTGTCTACCATGTATCCCTGCACTGCCCTTTGCTCTGGATTCTAGAATTGTCCTGAGAGAGGGAGAACAGCACTCCAGATGGATTGAATTTCAGACATTCTTATTTTTGTGCCCCATCTTTGTGCATCACTGCTCAAATCAACTCACTGACAAGGCCACACTTGAGGTTTGTTTCTCTCTGTTACACTACTGTTTTGAAAGACCATGTTCCCCTCCTGGGCAGACAAACTGTCTCTTCCAGCCTCCTTCCTGGAGTTCATTTCAAACATATCTCCTGACCAAACACAGAAAATACAAAGTGGGACTGAAGTTGTCCTGTCTGCAATAGCCTAACCTCTTCCTCTGTTCTGTAACACCTCTAACTTATTTCTCCTGATGATTTGGAAAGGTTGGTAAGAACCTGTTTAAAGTGTGCCTGTTTAGAACCCAGAGGGATAAATGAGAAAGCATAGTTTTTTTGTGAATCTGAAACAATTTTACAACCAGAGCATGCCACTGTTTTCCAGGTAAATCATTCAGTAAGACACTATTCTCGTACTGAATACGTTTTGATACTGAATACGCTATTCTCGTTCTGAAACGAAAAGCATGCATTTACCTGCACAGAGTCTGTATGAGCAGAATAAATGCAGAGCAGCAAGAAAGACTAGTCTGTCATCAAAATCAGAATGAAGCATTTCAGTGAACATTAGGTTATGCTAGTTGGAAGAAATGTCCTTGGCTTTTAAGGGCTGTGACTCACTTTATCAGTCTTATGAGTGGAAAACTATTCCATGCTGAACCATTCAGAAGGTCTGGATGAAAACTGAGAAACACCATTTAACCCTCTTATTTAGAGCTCATATTAAATATAAATGTTATACATGTTCTGTACCATGCAGAATTCTGGGTAATGTAAATCAGTAAATGGAGCAAGAATTTGCAAATGAAAAGGCAGGACAAAGGGTCAGAGAGGAGCAACTCAGCAGCTTCTGCAGGACAGTCTGAACGCCTCTGCAAATCTGAGCATGAGTTCCAAGTACCAAAAGGCACAAAGAGTGTGAGTGCCAAAAGCTCATCTTGGATACTAAGCTACAGCATTAGCAAGGAATCCCTTAAAGAAGATTTTCTTCCCTAAACAACTGTCTCATAAGAATATGTGTGTTTGAACAAATTGGTTTGGTAATAAAAAAAAAAAAAAGAGCATAGATTTTACAAAATGAAGCACTGCAATGCAAGAAAATTAATACTTTAAAATATTATAATCTGCCTGTCTCTCATAATAAATTGTTTTACAGTTGAAGAACAAATAATTTATCCTATTTTGGTCTAAGCCTGACCTACTTTTTTTACTCTTAACTTGATTAGTCTCAAAGGAAGCAGTGAAGTCAAGAGAACAGTGAGAACTGTTTTCTTCTTTACTGAGTCCTAAAGTAAATCACACAAAATGTCATAGGAAAAATCACAGCTACTTCCTGAAATTAAGCTGTGTTCACAACTGGAACCAAATAAATAACAATACAATTTTGAACTTTTCCCCTTTTTCTGTACGAGCTCCTCAGCATAGACCTGACATCTCTAGGCTCCTGAAAATAATTTCATCCTTCTCGTGAGAGTAATTAAGTGCTTGCTACAGTGATCCAGAAAAAATTATGTGACATTTTGTGAGACAATCAGCTGCTGCTAGGCAGGCATCACTGGGCAGCTCCTGATTTATTTTAGCCTGCTCTTACCTTTAACAGTTGATACAGTATTTTAGATTGGATTTACTTTGAGACTGACACTAAATGTATAATATTGAAGGCAATTAGCTTCCTGAGCTGTTTCCAGCCACATAAGGTGGTAGGATAAATATCTGTTAGCTTAAAGATCTCAACATTTCCTGGAAGTTTTGGAATCACCATTAGGACAGGGAGGGGCTTTGGGAAAGTCCAAGCCCTCTGAGACATCCAGAACTGCCAGTCAGCAGGCACAGGCTGCTGCAAGCCAGGCTTCACCTGCTCACAGATCCTTGCCATTTCCCAAGTAATTTCCCCTCAGCCCATGTTTTGGATGAGTCTGATGGAAAAATAATGTTCTGCCTGTCTCACTTTTAAATTTTAATGCTTGTGAAGAAATATACAACTACTTACACTGTACATAAACAAGGTGTTTTCATCCCCTGTGCGGGCTCTGGGAGAAGAGTGATGGTCTCTCCCTTGCCTTTCCTGGTTTGCCATGGCTTTGGCTTTGACCTTCTCAGAAAGATGCACCTGGCTGTCAGCTAGCAACATGAAGCTTGGCTTTGAAAGTAAGGTATTTGTGATGGGATTCTGATCTCTTTTTGCATATTTTTTTTTTTTTTTTTAACTGAATATGCGTTAGGAAAAGATGCAAATAAATGGAAGTACAAAACTGTCCTAGAAGGAGCTAGCAAATGTAGGACTAAGTATTAAAAGGCTTGAAATAAACATTTATTCTCCTGTAGAGCCTTTGAAATTTTTGTGGAAAGAAATTGCTGTGAAAAAGCATGTGTGGAAATAATGATTTTTGTGTCTTTGCATCACTCATGAGAAATGCATCTCAGGTAGCATGCATTGTACACAAACACATCCCAGGTAGCATGCATTGTATACAAACAAGCAAGGAGGAGGAGTAAATTACTCTTCATACTCACATATACACAGCAAGGAGTAATGAATTTAAACAGGGATATTTAGGCTGATCCTAGCAGCAAATGTCAGATGACACTTTCAAACTCCCACCCAGAACTGCCTCTGATAATCTTAGATCATAGAATGAGTTGGGTTGGAAGAGACCTTAAAAATAATCTATTTCCAACCTTCCACAACCTATGAACAGGGACACCTGACCAAGATTCTTAGAGCTCCATCCAGCCTGGCCTTGAACACTTCCAGGGATGGGGCATCCACACCTCTCTAGGCAACCTGTTCCAGTGCCTTACCACCCTCACAGTCAAGAATTTATTCTTGGTATCCAATCTAAACCCACTGTCTTTCAACTTCACCCCATTTCCCCTTGTCCTGTCACTCCATACCCTTGTAACCCACTGTCTTTCAACTTCACCCCATTTCCCCTTGTCCTGTCACTCCATACCCTTGTAAAAAGTCCCTCTCCAGCTTTCTTGTGGGTTCCTTTTAGGCACTGGAAGTCAGCACTAAGATCTCCCTGGAACTGTCTTTTCTCCAGCTAGGACAAGCCCAACTCTCTCAGCCTGTTTTAACAGGAGAGCTGTTCCAGCCCTCTGATTACCATGATACTGCACCCCTCATCATTCTGGTCACTGGAAGGATTTGCTGATCTGGTACTTCAGGATTCCTCTGGCACTCAGAAATCCCTCAGAAATATGCAGAAAGGTACGTCATTTTAATTTTGTATTTTACCAAAAGTCATTTATTTTCATCAAGTTTGAGTCTGAGAGGTATATTATGGAGTAAAGGTAAATTCCTTCTGGCCCCCAGACACCCAAACTAGATGCCTTTTTAAGAAGGTCTCCATGGTCTTCCAGAGAAATGTTGATTTCCCCAGCATCCTTTATCTAAATTGTTAATTCTTGCTGGTGAAAGGATACAGTAAATTAATGTATTTGTAAACCTGAAGCTACCCATTTCTCAAATGAGTTGATCTAGATTTAGGCTGAGTAGGTTATTTATTCATCAGCATGACATTTTGTTCCACTTAAAGAAGGTCATTGTAAATTAATAAAAACAATCTCGGTAATTCAGGTCAGTCTAGGATTGTTTTGTTGAAAAATTTTCAGAACTAGTGCAAAAGCACTTTGCCTTTTGGTTTTCATATTAATTAAACTCTTTCTGACAGCAATATCTTTATCAGCCCAGGAATCTGCTTTTTGCCCATTTCAAAGGTGCATAGGTGAACAGGAAGCTTTAGGACTATTTCAATAGTAAAATATGTAAATCACTAAATTAGAAAAACACATTATTGAAAATTAGTACAAATTATCTATGAGGACTAGAAAATTTGCACACCATTAATATGCAAGTAATCCACCCATTAATGTGCAGTACCTTATTATTTTGACAACTTTTACAAAAGAATGGCCTCTGATTGCTGTCTATGCAGCTATTATTGGCTCATAGACAATGATGAGCAATACAGCCAGCTATTCTCTGAAAAATGTTTCTGGATGCAAAAAAAAAAAAAAAAAAAAAGAATTCATTAATTAAAAGTATTATTATGCCATGTAATTACAGAAAAGTTTAAAAAGAGAGACTCTTTGAAGAGCTCTTTGTTTCTCAACAGAACAGTTAAGATTGGAAGGGGGTCTCTGCAGATTGTCTAGTTTTGCCTCCTGTTCCTCAGGCTTCCCAGATCTGTGCTGAGCAGGATTTGGAGTCCTCTGAGGACAGAGACTTCAAAACCTCTCTAAGCAACCTGTCCCACCACCCCCACAACTTTTTCTGTCTGATAGAACAATTGTTGCTTAAGCCACAGTCATCTGTTCTTACTTTCATGCTAAAGATTAAAAGATAATGCTTTGGTATTATATTATATATATTTTATATATTATATAAAAGGTATTATATTTAATACTTTGAGCTGCCTGGAGTAGACTAGTATACTGTGGACACCTGGAGGAAATGTGGGAAGGAAAGCCCCAACCCAACACTAAAGATCTCTGCAGGGCTGTGCAGGGGTAGCCAGCAAGTGGTGAAATGAGTGCCATGCACTGACAGGAGCTCAGCCAGGGGCTCACTGCATGTCTTCCAAGGCCTGGTCTGCTGCAGGGGGCCCCATTCACAGCACACTGTGCTCCTCCCCTGCCCCCAGCAGGACCCACAGAGCTGCATTGGCCTCTCCTGGCCAACTCTTCCCAGTTCATATACTGGGCATGACACCCTGTGGCATGGAATGGCCCTTTGGCCAGTTTGGATCAGCCCTCCTGGCCCTGCTCCCTCCCAGTCTTTGTGCACCCGCTCACCAACCCAACATGGAAATGGAAAAGCCCTTGACTTAGGGCAAGCAGTGCTTAGCAACATCTAAAACTTCACTTTGTTAGTAAGGTTAGTCTCACACTGAATCCAAAACACAGCTCTGCACCAGCTACTTGGAAGAAAATTAAGTTTATCCCAGCTGAAACCAAGACAACACTGCAGGTCTCATAAAGGTTGATAGTCTGTAAAAATGTGCAGGAGTAGCCCTTTCTTAACTAGTGCAAGCACTTCAGGGACAAGAGATACTATTGTTATAAAGGATACATGTCCAGCAAACTAAATTAACCACCAGAGAACGTCATAGAGAGATAATGCTCTCCAGCTTGTCCTAGAAATAACTTTGCTTACCTTTAAAACTTATAAGTGCTTTTAATTTTATTTTATTATCTTAGTCTATACCTATTTTACAAAATACCCACTCTTTTCCCTATAAAACAGTATATTGTATCATCAAAGAAGTCGTCAGTATGAGTAGCTGCACATAACTTGGTGGTCCTAAATGCCCCATAATACTCTTATATCTCTCCCAGAACTCTGTCTCCCTTTGAAACCTTGCTCCTGAATAAAACAGAGCATCAAACATGTCTCAAATTTTACATCTGCTGTGTGAGAATAACTATTTTGGCATGGACAAAGAATGCTGGCAGCATCTGAAAGGGGTTCAATTCCTAGCCCTACAATTTGCATCCCCTGCCCATCTCAGACATAAGAGATAATATGTGACTATTCAATTATGTTTCAGTCTGTTTAACTATGTACAAGATCTGTTCAGAAGAACAGAAGTGTGTTCTTCGTTTGTTCTCAACACCCTCTGACAATCACAAGCTTTCAGACACACAAAAATGACTAAGAATGAAAAACATATTGTAAACATACTTGGTGGAGATTATATTGACTGAAAAGGGTGAGTATATTTACTAATATCAGGACTTTTCCTACTCTTACAAAAGACAAAGACAACATCTGACTTCAGAGGGACTGTTAAGAGTAACAGCAATTAATGACTGCCAGCACTCATCAGCTGAAGACACTGGATAAAAGCAGTGCAATTATTCAACTGACACCAAAGTTTTACAAATAACAACTTTTATGATTTTTGACCTTTCTGGAATTGGTTGTGAATTAATTCCTATTTTATCAAAGAAATTATGATTCACAGCAGTTGCCAAATAATTTAGGTGAGCTATGCATGGTCATGAGTGACTCACTTTACAAGCGGTTCATAGAATAATGTTGGACATCTCCAGGCCCAAAGGATTCCTGCAGAGCTAGATCAGCTACAGCAAGGATAAAGGATGCCATACTTCCCTGGGACTGCTCCTTCAGGCAGCATGCTCGAGGCCATTTCCATTTCTGCCTGGTCCCCCCACACAGAATTTAAGTGGAGAGGACTTGACAAGCAGGAAAGCCATGCTGGAATAACCATGCAGGTGTCATGGTGCCTCAGCTGCAGGTTATTGTTTAAGGAGGATTCATACTGGCTCTCTGCATCTCCCTGGCACATACCTCCTCACTTAACACTGTGATGTTCTTCACCTCTCTGCTCCCTGCCCTATGGAGGAAGGGAAGCCCTTACAGGTGAGGCAAGCGTCAGCAGAAGCTGGAAAGGATTCTGCTTTAATTCCTAGCCAGAGCAGAGCTGCCCCCTCACAGGAGGAGAGCTGGAAGCAAAGGGATCCCGCATCCCACTCCCACTACTCGAGCAAGGCAAACAGAACGTAGAGACAAATTCAAGAAAGATTCAGCTAATAAAAGTACCACAGCAAGGTGGAAATCAACTCTCAGATCAGATTTATGATCAGGTCCCACAACCACCAGGCAAGCCCACCCTGACAGGTGAGAGCCAAGGCCAAGGCAGAGAGTCAGCCCAGGGTGGGACACTCCCCTACATGGCTGTCACTTGGCTGGAGACCATCACCCCTTCAGGCTCAGCACAAGGGAACAGGCCCTGTGGGCTAAACTTAAACAGCTGCTGCTCCATGGATGAGGAGAGAGACCCCAACTGAGGCTGGTCAGGACCATGAACATTTCTAACATTTATCAATGCCCTCAGAGCCCTCACACTGCTTTCCTATCTGCACTTACCCTGTCCCTTGCTGTCTGTAGGTGCATTATTCATGTAAACCCAATCAAATCTGGAGACTGCATGCTTAGAAACCATAATTATGTTATAGAAGTGAAACAGGTTCTATCCAGGTGTAATCTGGACATATCCTAAAATGTCGCAGCTCTCTGAGGAACATTCTCACTGTCTTCTGAAGAAAGGATAGCAATGAGCTCTGTGGAACAGGATTTTGGCTAAATTTTGTCCATAGGGGAAAGAAACTGTGATATATTTGAAACCTTGCACTATCTCCCTATGCAGTGCATCATATGATGCAAAGCATCATAATGTTTCAGGGGTGTTTTATTTTGTTTACCAGCTAAAAGCTCCTAGGGAGCACACATAAATGCATCTCTGTTAGCTCTGGCTTAAGAAAGTCCTTGTATCTTTGTGTTGATAGTGGTAAAAAGCAGTTTATTCACTTTTGCTTTTTAACACTTTTATAATTCAAGATGCAAACATGGCAGAGAGAAAGGCTTTTTAAGCAATGTAAATGGAGATAAGAACAAACAACTCATTGAGTTAATTTAAATGTCATGAAGAGAATTTAAAAGGCCTTTAAGCTCTGCCTACCACTTTTCAAAAACATTTCTCTTGTAATTCAGTTTCTCTTTGAAAGCACATTCAAGAATAAATAAACCTAATTCAAGTGTTCCATTAAAATGCTTAAGTTTGTTGGTGGTAGTGGTGTTGGTTTTGTTTTTGTTTTTTTTTAATTGAAAAAATTATTTGCTATTTTGGCTTTTTTACTCTTTGGCATGTTGAATTAGATGCCAACTTGCTCTCAGAAGCAGTCACCAGTCACATTGAGAAGTATGAAATCTGAAATCTCATCTACAGTGGAAGGGAGCATGGGAATGAGTGAGGACTGTGGAATCAGTTTGATCAAGGACCCTGTCAGTCACACAAATTCCAGGTCTAAGAACATAATCTCTCTGTAGCAACCAGTGTCACATATATAAACGTTTTACCGAAAGAACCTGAACTTTCTGTACATTTCAATGTCACCACGAGTTATTAAAACAAAAATAAAAGTTTGAATGTCATCTCCTTGATTCTGGAAGTGTAAGTGACACACTGGTCTTGAGCCTTACAAACCTGAATTTATTTTCCTAAATACTATTAGGAAATCATGTAAACCCTCTGTGCAGTGGTTCCCTATCGGTAAAAGAAGAAGGCATTTCCCACCCATGTGAGGTAAAGCCTGCAGTTTGCTTTAGTTTCCCAGCCTTAGGGCTGTACACACTTCTGGATGGGTAAGTTTTCTAACTTCCTATCACTAACACAATCCTTGTAGACCCATTAGCTACCAGTAACATTGCTTACATTACATATGTGAAAGAATCATTTGCTGATATGGTTTATGAAGTTTTGGAGACATGTTCCCTGAGAGAGTGTGGCCTCATACCTGAGCTTCCACATCCCAGCAATTTCAACTCAGCTGAGCTCAGAAAGTGGCTACAGAGCATCTCCTGGGCAGTCTGTCTGCTACCAGGGATGAGAGCCACACCAGCAGAGCTGCAGCATTTAGAAGCAAAAGCACTAAACAAAGTAAACGGAACAGACAGCAAGCAGGAGAAGGGAAGCTGGCAGCAGTGCTGTTAAAGGAATTATGGACAGTAGCTGGCTCTGAACGTTCCAGTGGCATTTATGTCTCTCTACAGATAAATCCCTTGCAGAATAGAGAAATAATAAGTTATCCTCTGCGAGGTCGATGACTCATTCTTGTGCACCAAGTTCTCAGAACCTCAGCAACAAACTACAAATTCAGGCAATATCCACAATAGCAATCAGCAAGCTGAAGGGAACAATTCACCTGCAGTGAATTAAAGCATGGCTAAATGAGAAATGTCTGGGGACATGAGTTATGAAGAACTCAGAATCTGTGTTTCAGAAACTATGACTGTCAATGGTTAACTTCAACAGCCATTGGTCCTATGACAAAACCCCTTTTGCCTTGAAGAGGGTCAAGAAGTCCCCAGGCTCATGTGCCAAATGGACAGAAAACAGACTGACATGAAATTCTGAACAGAGAGTACTTTGTTCATTATCAGAAACAGTTTTCTGATATCAGCAAACCAGGCTGAGCATTTTCTCTCAGCAAAAGCAATGAAAGTAATTTAGGATTTCTGATGAGTGCATTCCTATAATTCAAATGAAATGGCCTCTTAGAAATTGTTATACTTTGGCTAAGGAAATGGGATGGAGAGATCAATTCTAGCTTTAACTTGAATATTTGTAAGGCAGATGTGGAATTGGGAATGGCTTCTTCCCCTGTCTTAATTTTCACCAACCCCGCCAACAAACTCAACTGCATGCCTTAGCCCCTCTCTATTATGGCTTTAAGTCTGAAAAAAGACAGCCTTTGTGGTTCCAGGAGTGCAGGACTTTGCTATGACATTCTTTCCCCTATCATGCACAATGGTGCACCATTTTTGCCCCAAAACTTTAATAAGATACAGTTTCTTACATTTGTCTGTCTTGCTGTGATGCATAGGAACATGCATGCATGCCTAAATAAATAATAGCAGTTCACCCCTCAGGCAGCTTTCAGGCTTTTGACAAAATCTAGAAGATACATGACTTGTTTTTAATTAAGGAATACTCTATAGGTTCACTAAAGAAGGTTTACTGTAACTCCCTAGTAGATTTCAGTATCATGCAGTTTGATTTCTTTGGCATATCATCTTTTGTCAACTACCAATAAAAATAATCTGACATAGTACCAGTAAAAAACAGCAAAACTCTTCAGTCTGCAACTGAATATGACTGAACAAAATATGAAGCAACATATTTTCCCTCACTCTTTTAGCAACAGATTAGCTTCACAAAGTATAATTTTTTTGTTAGATGTGTTTATTGTATTCTTTGAAAGCAGACAGTAGGAAGGCAGATCACCACCTCCATTGTCACTGTGGTTGCAACATGCTGAGGAACAGAGGGCAGGGGAAGAGGCTCAGGAAAAAGGAAAACTGCATGAATAGTGATGTCTTGGTGATAAACAACCTACGACTGCTGTTCATGACATCAATATTTCTTTCTCCTCTTTTCCAGACACACCATTTCACCCCCTCCCACAGGACATTTGTATAACTAAACCTGCTTTTGTTTCTTACCTTGAAAATCCATTGTGCAGCTTTAATATCTGCTTCATCTTCTTTTTGGAGGTTGTCCTTTGCCTGACAGTTGTCTGCATGGTAGCTGTGAGTCCTGAAGTAGAGCACAACTTGCCTCCACATCAAGAAATAAAAAGGCTGTTCCTGAATCAAATTTTACAATGACCTTTCTTGGAAAAGCACCACTTATATTTAATGACGAAATTAAACCAAATCCCAGACATTGGGCTGGATGACAACCACATAAAGATTGCTTGTCCTTACACTGATGGACAAATGTCCAGGCCTCTTGCAGCTTGCCAGTTCTTCCTGCAGCCTGGGGGAGTTCTGGAGACAAACAGGATTATCTGCCCTCAGATATCTGCAGTGTCTCATCCCTTCAGCATGTGCCAGCTTAGAGATTAGACTTACAACTTTGTAGGTTTTAGTAAATTGCAAAGGAGAAAGACAAGCACAAAGTGGTTGAACATGCCAGAGAAACAAGCTGGGACAACCATGAGACACTTTTTATCACCTCAGAGTGAATGTTTTTATTCATAACTTGAAAGAAGAAGGAACTCAGCACACAGTTCCACTCTGCAGGCAGCACCAAAAGGAGATATCTGTCTTAGGTCAGTGGTACCTGCCAATCACATGGTTTTCCTCAGTGGCTGAACAGATGGCCTGCTGCTAATCCTTGCAGCACCGGTGAAAACAGCACATGAGCTGCAGCCGTGTCTCAGGATGCAGACACACTAAATATAAGGACTATGGCTCCAGGTAGATTATTAATAGATTATTTCTCCCAGATGTATAGAGGGCTGCCAAGTTTTTGCTAACATTATTGTTTACATCTTTTTTTCAAACTAAAAAATATGTCTAACCCAACATTTTTTTTTTCTACCAAGAGTCTAAAGGTTTGACAATTCAGCATTGTAGATACAAGGTAGATATAACATATCTGCCCACACAGCATCTCTTGTGAGAAGAGCTGCCTTGGTGACACTTCTGTCCTCTTTTCAGAGAAATCCAGTAAATGCTGAGGAGAAAAACTAAGAATAATGAGGCTTGACAATGGCAGTAGAAGTCACTGTAAAGTAGACTCTGTTACAGAAAGCTGTAGCATAAGCTCCAGTAAGTAACTTTTTCTTTTTCTGTCCTCTAGCCAGATTTACCATCAGCAGCTGGTGAAATGAAATGCTGGGCTCAGCATTTCATTTTTTCTCCAAAAAGCTACTCTTATGACTTTACCTTTTTCTGAGAGGATGAAGGAGAAGAGCACTCCTTCTACACTTCCAGGTGTACAGACAAAAGCTGTTGGCACAAAGCAACAGAGACTGATGGTGAAAGGAGAAGATGCTGTAGGCTCAAAGAGTGGCTGGAAACTCTTCAGCTTTCAACAGAGAAGGGAATGTACATGAGGCAGAGACACGTGTCCCTACTCGCTAAATCATTACTATTTTAACCCCAGATGCATTATTTCTCAAGGCGACAAAAGGTACTGCACAGCCCTTTCTGTTCCTGTTTTTGCATACCACTTCACTTCCAATTTTCTGGCACTACAGCATTGTTCCATTATACTAGGGGAAAAAACAGAAGATGTATTTATTACAATAACATGTTAGTTTATATTTCTTTCAAAAAGACCACTCCTATTGCAGATAAGTTATGTGTGGTTCCTTCACTGAACTTGTAAAAACTAATTTCAAAGATGTGGTGGAGCAATCAGAAGGTTGCCTGTTGTAACATATGCACAACTGTAGCATATTAGCTTTGCCAGATCCTTTGGGCCAGAATCTGAATTATTTAAAAGAAAAATTATCCAAGTGATCCATGATCTATCAAATGATCTATGACCTAGAAATCAGATAAGTCTATATAGGCTGCAGGAAGCAGGTGTTATTTGTTAAAAAGGATACTCACAAAATAATGCTTTCCCACCATGACACACACAATAAAATGAAGGTAAAATAAGAGAAGGAAACAAAGACAGATGAAGCAGTAAAAATCAAGTTCACAATGGGCCAATCTTGCTATAGTTCCTCAGGACAAACATCTAATGAAGCACTCCACATCTTCTCATATTGAAAAATCACTTCTGTTTCCATGCAAGGAAATCTCTTCAACGAGGCCTCTTCAACCCTCCAAAATTAGACAGGAGAGAAAAAAAAATTACTTGATAGTTTTGTGAATTAGGGACGTCTGCTCACTTTCCTAACCTTCTAAGCATGTTTTGCTTGGATAAACTTTCAAAGCATTTTCTCCTATACATGTTAAATATACATGTTGTGCAGACATGCAGGAGCCAGGTGACGTACAGAATGCTGAAAGGTTAAATGGCAGGTGTGCAAAACACTTCTGTAGTTTGGAGAATAAGTGGTAGACAATGATACATTGTTCTTATTACAAGAACGAAAGGAGAACAGAAAAACACTCTCACGATCCAGCTGTCTGTAGTTTTAGTGTGAGCATGACTCATCTGCATTAATTTTCTAGTATTAAACTATTGAGCATTCTTATCCTTTGTGATCCAGGAAATTGATGACTTTTATTCCTGCATGTTGATGT